GCTGTGATCTGGTTTTGCTAGCCCATCGAGTTGGGGCTTGGCTTTTGTCTTTCTTTCCAGACTTAGACTCCGGATTGTGTTTGGTTTTTATTTCTTGCTCCCATTGTGTGGATTGTTGACTTGGAACTATGTTTTCTTTCAGCCCATGTGTGTGTTTTGTTGGTTCTAGCTCTATGCCCGTCGGACTGGTCCTTGTCCAGTCCTCTGCTATTGACTGGTCCGCCATCCAGTCAACGTTCCTGACCACTGTTTCACGGTAACATCGTTCCCCTTCCCTCGGCTCCATTGAGGACACTATCGCATCTAAGTGTGTGTGTGGGGGGGGGGGGTTCTTTGTATTTATTGGAACGTCTATATGGGTGCTTGGAGCCTAGTCCGCTGTCCGAATCTTACGGTTTGAGGGATCCAAGTACTGCTGTTTGATCATATTGGCACTGTGTTTTGATTGATGAATTTAATGGTTTTCGGATTAATGCATGACAGCTTGATTGTGACTAGGAAAACCTATGATGAGGACTGAGACATGCAGTAGAATTGTGTAGGGGTTCAGTTTTTCAACTGTTTGCTTACCAACTGTGACTTGATTTGATCACTTTCTCTTGACAGTCGTTTATGCATCTAGTTCAGGGTATCAGAATGTGAGATAGAGCATATAGGTAGCATGTGAGATTTGAGCCTGCTCGTTTCTTTCTTGTGCGATAGATCCCTCTTCCATGATGTGTAGCATTCACGTTGTCATTAGCTAAGATGATGGGGGCATAGGATTAGCCCACGACCAAACTGACTGTCCTGATGTGTCATATCCTCTAGTCAGCCTCGTTGAGCCGTGTGTTATCCTTTATTTTTGGTCTATAATGGAAAATCACCCTTTTGCATCTTTTAGAAGGTTCCACAGAGTGGTTTTTACAGATTCTCTGCTGTTTCTGCTAAATTGAATGTGAGTGTTGGAGGTAGTGCTTAAAAGTTGGGCAGATGTTTGAAATAGGTGCAGAAGTGGTGGCTCTTAAGAAATGAAAAGAAAATGAAAGAAAAAACAAAGAAAAATTGAAAGCAAAAGAGAGCCACTACAAAAAAATCTGAAAAATGCCCAGTAAGTAGCGTTTCTTAGCAGTCTGGCTTGGAAATGCTGACATTTATACCTCCTTCGCTCTTGTGCTCTTGAGATGTTGAGTATTGCAGAATAGCAGAAAGGGAATACCGGTTTGTTTGACTGTGATTGTGTGGGTTTGGAAATGTGGAACCTTGTGCTATGAATACTTCCACCACCTAAAAGGCCTTTTCCCCATGTCCAAGACCCTAGCCAGTCATTTGAACCTGTGTCTAAGACCTCCTGATTAGTTAGTGATGACATCCTATATGTGAACTCTAGCATTTAGAGGCTGCCATCATGGTGAAGAGATGTTAGGGATTGAGAGAAATAGCATGCGCATTTTTCGCATTAAATTGTCCTGACCCCACTGGTCGAGAGTGAGTGATTCATTTTCATATTCTTTATACTCTTGTACCCCGGTGAGGACCTAGATTGCTCGGTCTCTGTTCTGATGTCTTGAGTTGGATGCATGAGTTGACTGTTTTGAGTGAGTGGTTGAGTCAAGTCTGGGTTGGTTGGTGAACAGAAGGGAGACTCTCCCGTTGCTCGATTTTGCTGCACTCGAATGTCCTTTGTGGTGGTTGTCTAGGTTGCTATTGAAGTTGTTCATGTGTTGATGTTTGAAAACCAGTATGATTCACGTGTTCTGTGCCTTTATGACTTATCCCCAATGTTGGTTGATTGAAATATGTGAGCTTACCTTGTGTATTACTTGGTTTGCTTGGGGACAAGCAAACAGTTAAGTGTGGGGGAATTTGATAGCATCGTATTTGCACGTGTTTTCACTCTGGTTTCCTGTCCATTTTGGCTCGAATTGGTTGTTCCTTGGCCTATTTTACGCTAGGTTGTGTTGTTTTGTCGTATTTCAGGTCCTAGCAAGTAAAGAGGTGCATAGGCGCAAGTTTCGGGTCATTTGGAGGTCAGATGGCGATTCACAGAAGGAATTACGGGCAGCCCCTGCCAAATTACGACCGTAATTGGTCAGGGCATGCCCGTAAATCTATTGCCGAGCCTCCTTGCCAAAAAATTCTTCTCGGCACAAAAATTACGGGCAAGCTCCAGAGAATTACGACCGTAATTCCTAAAATACTGGCGGTAATTGTGGAATTACGGGCGTAGATCATCCTCCTTCAGTTTAATTGAAACGTGCGTTTTGGGGAAAATTACGGGCAGGACGTGATTACGGCCGTAATTCGGCCCGTAATTCGCCCAGAGTCGGGTTTTTGGAGGCAGATTCGAGCCAAGGAAGAGGTATTCGAGTTTCTAGAGCAAAACCAGAGTTCTAGAGAGAGAAAGAGCGAAGAACAAACCCTAGGAGCTATTTTGGAGTGGATTTCTCACCATTGAAGCCCAGATTGCGTCCCCAGGAGTGAAGATTGACATCCCAGAACAGATTTTCCTCATCTTTATGAGTATGACTACTCTGATTTCTGTTTTCCTTTCTCTCTCTATGGAGTAGAACCTTTCTCTCACTTGGGTATGAAGAACCCTAGTTCCTTGTGTTAGGGATTTGATTGTAATGACTTGGGATGATTATACTGTTTGATTTTAATCGAATGATGCATGTTTATTGAATTGATTGAAGTCTGATCAGCTTTTCTTGATTTCTGCTGCAACCTGAGATAGATAGAATCTGATTAGGTTGTTAGAGCCTCTTCATTCGATAGTAGGAGATTGGCTATACGAGAGTTAGCCAGTTTACTGCTTTGTACTGGAATTCAATTCCAGTAGTGGAGTTCTGTGCTTATTGCTTCAGCTTTCTATCCCGGTGAAGACTAGTCGTCTGCCGGGTAGTTAGACTGAGAGGGCTTGGTCAGCTTAAGAGATTCCAAGCTATTGTCGGATCTTCCGCAGTCTAATCAACAGTGAATCAACCCGAGTGACTCTTTCCTGCTTTTGAAAACCGAACCATTTCCTGCTTTCTTACTGCTTTTGCTTTAAACAACAATCACTCAAATTAGTTTGCTAGATAATAAATCATCACGGAGTAAGCAGTAGATCTAGACCCCGGGTTGATAATAGAACTTGCCTGTTACTGCATTCCCGGACTGCGATTACACTTGGTCGCAGTTTGGTGTTGTGTTTTGGCGTGTCAAGTTTTTGTGGTTCCGTTGCCGGGACTTGAACCCGGGTCTTTCGGGTGAGAGCCGAATATCCTGACCAACTAGACTACAACGGAACCACAAAAACTTGACACGCCAAAACACAAGTTTTTGTGTTCTTTTAGTTTTTTGTGGTTGCTGCACGATTTTTTCATTTTTGTTTGCTTTGCTTTGCTTTCTATTCGATTGTTTGCTTGTGTTCGCACATGGAATGAGGAAACGTCGTTGAAGTCTTTGATCTTTAACAACATGTATGGGTAGTTGAAAATTTCAACCTTGGAAGTTTGAGATAGACTGAATGTTTACAGTACTTGAGATGATAATTAATCTAGGGGTAATGTCTATTTTTTATCCAAACCTTTTTTTATATTCTTTTATATTATCCATACTTATTAAAATGCTATTAATTAGTCAAATCTTTCGTAATGCATCAACATATTTGCCATTTTTACGTTATGTTAATAATTTTGTAACTCTTTTCTCAGTTAAAATATTAAAATTTTGGAATGTTGACCTTCATGTGTCTCTTCCAAGTCAGTATCATGTTGCCAAGTCAATATTACTAACAAAATTGCTAACCAAAGTTAACATTTGACTAATTCTTCGTATTTCGCTAGGTTTTGATAATGTAAAAGAATCTGAAAATGTTTGGATACAAAATAGGCATCACCCTTAATTTAGAGAGTGAAAAACTTTGGTGTGTCGTTTGTTAATCTAGCTTAAGGATACCATACTAGGGAGGATTTCTTTCCGAGGTGAAACTCTTGAATATGAAATATGCATCAAGATAGTTTCTGCTCAAGTTACTATATAGGAATAATAATATGAGCTACCTTTGCATATTTCTTGTTTCGGTAGAAAACTATCCTTGTTAAAATCATGGATAGTTTAGAGGAAAGAATCTGCATCTTTTCTTTTTGAACAAAGTGACAACCATGCACTTTCGAAGTCATGAAATGTTGTAATACTCGTAGATCCCACTAAGATTGACAATTTATTACACTAAGAAAACTACAAATTTTCTTCCATAAGTTCCAACCGTTGCAAAAACATTCTTGGATAGGAATGTAAAAGAGACATGATTATGAGTTCTATGGAAACTGTGCATTACAAGGTAACATATATTATAGTTACAAAAGGGATAGTAAGATCTATATATATAAATGCATATAGATTTTGGTATAGGTTCAGTGTATTTGATTGTGAGTAGATTATTTGAGTGGATAATTAAACTGTCCGCCATTGTTTTAGTCTCCAAAATTAAGCTCATCACTTCTAAGATTTCCTTTCCTTTTTCTGCAGATTCTGGGTCCCTTGCCTTATATTACATCCTACTGGATGGTGTTTGGAATGTGTATTGGCATTGGTTTAGTATCATTTGAAGAGAAACCGAGAAACCTATACACTTTCATTGCCTTTTCAAGGGTTCGTTGGCTTGGATGCTCCAAGTGATATCTAATTCAGGTATTCCTTCTTCTAATTAGCAATAGTGAGAATGCAAATGTCTTGCAAAGCATGCGATCATTAGAAGGACTTGAGGATTATGTCAGTTGTTATTTGCTTGCAATCTTGGATCAAACCTTCTATTTGTTTGTTCTGTTTCTCTTGGATCAAACCTTATGATACTCTTGTTGTTCTCTCTATACCTTGTGATTTATAATAATACCATTCACATTCCTAAATATATTAAAAAATCATGGTTAAAATATTTTATTCATTGGTTGTTTTTATAAGTAGCTTATGCATTCTGGCTACTTATTGAAATAAACTATTTCTGCAGAACACATATTGGATTTGGACTGGGAAATATGGAGAATAATGGACATTTTTATCAGTGCAGAGAGAGACTTGACCGAACATTGGCTTCTCCTGCTTTGACAGATTTTGCTAAACTTAAAATCATTATAAGCAAACAGCTTGAAGGCTAGTATATGTCAATTTATGTTGAGTTCTTTAAGGGTAGTGGATTTTAAGAAATGAGAGATGCTAATCAGGTAGTTCTAGTTGTACTAATAATTTTAGTTTACGTACCGAATCAACAGGATCTGACGAGAAAGTGATAGAGAAAAGGGCTATTGAGGCGTCCAATTTTCTGGATATGCTTAGGGGTGCTGGTGTAAGTGGAAATGGGGATTCACAAAGAACCAAAGCAGCTGTTGGGGAATGGAATGTAAGCTTTGCTTCTCATTTCGTCTGTTTTGGAGTAGAATTTATTTTGAGTTGTAGAGGGTGGTAGGAACTATGTTTAAAGCTTTGTAAGATGAGAACTTTGCCATAAGTTTTTGTTTAATTATCTCAATTAATAAGATCAATTCTGAGAAAGAAGTGGGAAAGATAAATGGCTTTACTAAAGCTGTTTTCTGTCAACAGTTGAAAGAAAGTAATGAAGAGTTTCGTGTCATGTATCGTGAAGGGCCCCAGGGTACACCTATGCATACACTGTTTGTTGAAGGTTTTGTTGATGGACCTACCGATACATGTAAGTGTTGCTCAATCTCAAAGGAGGGATTCACCCTAGGCAATGTGCTGAGTGGAGTTTTCTTGACTAGGAATATATCTCTCTGCAGGTTTATGTCTGGGTTGGGAGTCAACTCTGTACCACAAATGGTGAGATTTGTGTCCACTTTCTTACTTACCTTTGTCTTTTTTAAGGTATTACCATGTGTTTATTACATTTCGAAAAATCTTATGTCTGTATAATAGTTTTTCTTACTCTTCTTGGGTATTAAAGATGTCGTTATAACATTCCTGATATGGAAAAACATCCTTTTGATTCCCATGTATCATGAACTAGAAAGAAACTGCAAGCACTGGAAAGAAAATAGAGCCTAGTGTTCAGTAGGAAGCCTTTTGTTCATATGTGGTGATATGACAGATATCTCTTCGTTGCTATTCCAGGTGGCCGCAACTTAGTTTCCCCAATTTCAAGATTGCTATGTCCAAAAGCTTACAGAAAGTTCGATTTGGAGAGCAGATTTCTCTACTGAGGTTGCTCTTGAAAATTCATCTATGTTTTGCTATTTCTTTTTTGCGATATGTTGCAATTCGTTAAACTGATATCATGTAAAACTTGACAACAAAGGATGAAAATTGCATGGCCACTGTCAGCAAGGGAGTCTGTTCTGCATTATTTTATGTTTGAGTATCTCGAAGAGGGCTTGATTGTTGTTCTTCTGAACTCGGTAATCACTCAACTTGAATTAATGATTATCACTTAAAACATTAATTTCTTTGGGATTGGAAGTACAAAATCGCAAAGCAACAAAATTAATTCATTAACTACCTTTTTCAGATTGCAGACTCAGATTCCATTGATGTAACAACTCATGGTTATACTAGAGATGGAATACCCGAACCAGAGGATGTAGTAAGAATGGACTTCGTGGGAGGATTCGCAGTGCAAAGAGTGAACTCCAATAGAAGTTATGTGTGGTATGTTATTGAACTAAGACCTCTACCCCCAGTAACATACTTGACATCAGTTTTTTTCTGCATGATTTTTGTAGATTTGAAAATCTCTATTTTATTTGCTTTTAGCCTAATAGGAAATATTGATTTCAAGTTGGACTTTATGCCTCCATCCCTTAAAACTTTGTGGCAAGGCAGCTGATTGGTGGTGGCTACAAACTTTATCAGAAGGTAATAACTCATATCCCTTATGATGATATATATAATGCCTTTGAACAGGGGTAAAATGTTCCTTCTGTATGACTACTCTGTTAACACAAATACAGGCCGTAATTTCTACATCAAAGCATGATAAAGATTATGTCAATGCATTGAAGGATCCTTTGTATGCTCGATTGCGTGATATATTCCGTGAGCATAGTGAAGAACCACATGATATTGTGATAGCGAGAGAAGAACTCAACAATAATCAATCAATAGTTGAGGCAACCAAAGTTGCAGCCAAAAGCTTGATAGGTGTTGAGAAGAATGGTGAGGGGAACCCCATGACTGAATCCTTTGTAGATGCTTTGGACAATCTGGACGAAAAAAATTCAGGATATTTTGATGGGGAAAAGATACTAGTGTTGACTAATGGAAAAACTACTAACATGTCACTGGAAGCCTGTGAAATAGAGCATGAGGCTGTAAATAGAGCCTTTAGCAAGATAGGAAAAGCTAATTTTGAAGACGAAGATTGTACGAGAAAGAATGAAGATACTTCTGAACCAAGATATCTTGTCCAGTATGCAATTGTCCTAGTATGTCCTGACCTAAATCAAGCAATAGGGTCACTAGAGAAAGGTATTTCCATGGTTAAGAGGTATGGAGCCAGTGTGATGACTAGGTCAATATCACGTTCGGATAACCGAAGTCGTTCATCAAATGAGGAGGTGATAGGTGAAGTATCCCCATCGGTGGAGAAGACTTCAAAGTTGGAAACTTTTAACCGAAAGCACAGTACCCCCCTAAAAGATGGAATAGGTCCTTCACATGGTGAGGTCAACGTCCTTGAAGTATCCGACAAGTTGGCGGAGAAGGCTCTTGATGGGCCCAAGACCTTTGGCAGCTACATAAATAGGTAACCCTACTACTCAACTATTTTATACTACATATAAGAGCAACAACCAATTATAATTATAAAATACATACATATAATATGATCAACCAAAAACACTATTGCAATATTTGTTTGGTTGTTGTAGTCGAGCTGAACTGGATTTGGGGAAAGCAAGAGATGATGAATCAGGGAATGAGATCTTTGAGATGGCGATGGAAGGGAGTGAGGAGAGGATTGATGATAATGTTTATAAGAGGGAAGGGAGGTTGAGGAAAAGGAGGTATTTGACTTCTTGCTTTGGTTATCAGTGACTTTCAAGCTTGACAGAGAAGTAGGAAGTAGAAACATAAAGTGAGTGTAGTGAGTTTGGTGTAGATGTTTATCGGCTTCGTCATGGCCACAACAGATAATATTGAAGAAATGCCTATGCTTTTGTATTTCTCATCACTGTAAGTAGGGTGTTTGTTGGAGTATCCAGGACGTGTCGTTCAGATTTATGGATCTAAAATAATGAATGTCATGTCAAAGAAATATGGATTTGAAACAATGTTAGGTGTGTAATAATGGGTTTTATTTCTCTACTTTAGGGTATACTATGCATTTATAGCAAGGTTCAGAAGGGGTAATTCCTCATACGCCTAGGCGCTAGGTAGCTACTAAATGCCCAGCCTAGGTCTATGAAGACCATTAGGCATTCAAAAGCCGCAATTAAATAGAGTTAGACGACCTAGTGACTAAAATAATAAATATATGTTTAATACCCAAAATGACATATGTTCGAATAGTTCCTTCCAATTACTCGTCATTCACATGCCTCCTTCTTCTATTGGAATAAAAGAAGAAATAGGTCAACAGAGCTCTGAAATTGCAACTACTTCTTCCTGTCCCAAAGATCAACGTATGCAACTACAGTGCTTCTCGTTTCCAGCTTTGGTCGACCTCATGCTATATGCTATTTTTCTTTAATGTTGACCGCTAAACAATCAAACCACGTCTCCATATGTACTACTTCAATTCCTCTCCCATTAGTATCCAACTTTGGTCAACTCAACCTTCTTTCTTACTCTTCACCATCACTATCTGTAAAATTCTTATGATAGCTTATTTGCCTAGGCGTCTCCAAGGTGCTAGGTAGGACCCCAACGCCAGCCTCGTGCCTTCTTGAACCTTGATTTTTATTATGATACTATACTTAACTTCTAATTGATAAATCTCATATCTAAAGAAATCAATCCAAGATCAATCTAATAAAATTTAATAATCGTTTATTCCAATCCATCAAAGTATTACGAAGTACATCTAATGTTCAGATCATGATCATGTAGAGTATGATATATTCTAGTAACAATACAGTCATCACGAGACATTATTTTTTAGAAAAATCAAGTTTATAGATGTTTTTGTTTGCTACATGAATCTATAAAATGTATAGAAACTTTCTAAATAACATCTACTTCACATCATCCTTCTAAGTATCCTAATAATTTGCATTCCATTTCATTTCACTTTTTCTTTTCCTCAGGTTTTTCTAACACCTTGGTAAAATCTTACATCGACAAAACCATAAAAGAGATCCATTGTTCATAAGGAACAATTCAACCTTAACTGACAATACTCATTTTGGGGTGAAACGAATGAATTCTTGTAAGAACGCTGAAGTTAAACATATTTAGTATAAAGCAATGCAGAGATGTGTGACCTCTTAAGAAGTTGGTCAGAAAAGGGTTGGGTTATTACAAGTGATATTGGAGCCTTTCTACATCTCTCTTGAACGATGGAGGTGCAAACCTCAACGAAGACATTGAGTTACAAAGTAGGTGGGCTATAATGTTTCACCTTAGGTAAATATCACATCGAAAAAGCACGAGAGAGATCCATGGTACATTATTGACAATCCAACGTTAACTGACAAGATGCATTTTGGAGTGAAATCGAGGAGTTCTTGTAAGAGCTCTAAAGTTAAACGTGATAAGTGTGGAGCAGTGCAGACTAAAGATATGGTCGACCTCCTAGGAAGTCATCATGATGCACTAAATAGCAAAATGTGCAGGGTAGGCCCAGAATGTACAATATCTTGATCATAAAAGGGTTGAGATGTTATAGTTTCTCTATTTCCCGAGAAATTTTCTTTCTCATACTTTTTTCATTTTATATTGATAATTTTTTATGGTTTATTTTCCAATGCAAAACCTGCTCTCTATGTAAAGTTACAAAATCAGATGTAATGATTGTAACCCGAGAAGAAAAGATATAATGGTCACAACTTCTCTTGCTTTTGATAATCTCTGCACAGTCGAACAAAAAAAACTTATTATAAGGACCGCCCCATAGACTATATAGACTTAAGGGGACCAAAAGGCCTATTCGGTCAATAAGGTTTTTTGGGACAATTAGATGAGTTTTTTGGGGACTAGCCTGAATATCTAGGAAAAATTTAATCCATTTTTCAAATGTCTTAAGAATTTACAATTTACCATATCTCGTTCGTTTTATGTCAAATTTTTTGTACTATTCATGATGATAATCATTTTGATATTTCTGGGAACAAAAAAATTTCACGCCATCTAGCATATCGTGATAATGTCATGATTAAGGTTCAAGAAGGTGTTAGGCGCTATGCATACATTGGGGTTCTGCATAGTTCTAATGATACTTAGACAGTGGCTAGGCGTTTTATTCGAAAATAATAACTTTTAGCTGAAACAACAATTTTATAGCACTGTTTTACTTATATTCAATTTCAAATGGTAAATTTATAACTTAATCAATCCTCAACAACAATCAAAATATTTCATGATTTTATAAAATACAAGTTGTAGCATTATAACTTCATGGAAAGTTTGAAACAAAAGTTATTCTAAAATAAGTTTACAACAACAAAAAATTCATTTAAACAATCAAACACCTAACACTTAAAACTAGTTCAATCATCATACCCAAATGTGTTTTTCCAATAACCACTTCATCTTCATTATCCTCAAAAGCAAACTCCTTATCATTATTCTCTTATACCTCCTCGTTTGACTTGAATTCTTCATCATTGAGCTCTCTCACTCTTGTACTCCTACAATTCATGATGCTCACTAGTTACTATTGTATATCTATAACAAGACTCGATGTTCACCATTTTCTTCCTCACCCTAGTCCTTGGTCTGTTAGCGGGCTTAATTGTGGCTAAATTTGATAAATCACGCTTTAGACTACTGCGTGGCTAGCTTTTCATAGGCACTGCCTAAGAATTATAAATTCCTAATTCTCTGCCTATGGCATAAGTGAGGCGTTTTGTTGTTCTCAAGCGTCAAGTACATAATTACGTCTTATTGAATCCTGATCATATGATATGATAGTGATGTAATAATGTTCTTAGTTTAGCATAGTGGTAAGATCATGATATGACACTTGTGAGATGATATTGTGAAGTTTTATCTTAATGGTATGATGCTAGTATGAGAGTGGTAAACATAATATGAACTCATATATTTCAAAACATTAAAATTGATGTCTTCACATAACCATCATGTCATGATATTATTATATTACCATAGTGGTATGATTTTGGTATGAGAGTGGTAAGATAGTATGAAGTCTCATCTTTGGCAATAAATTTGATATCTTCATACCACTACCATATCATGATATTATCTTTGACAAACACGTATTTTTCAAGTACTATTATGGTGTAGAGCATAATTAATTAGCTCTTTTTATACAAAATTTTAATTTTTTTGAGTTAAAACAAAGGAGATATGCTATCATACCATGATAATATGAAAGTGATAAGATTACAACCAAAACATGCTTCGAATGACTAGTTTTTCTAAAAATATAAAAAAATGGACATCATTGTGCATATCATAATTAATGCATTCTTTATTGCAAATTTTTTAATTTTTTGAGTTAAGACAAATGAAGATATGAATTTATTAAGAAAAATGAGAGAATTTAAAAATTAGTCTTTGACACGTCAAAAGTCTCTCATCTCTCCTTTAAATTTTGTATTAGTCAAAGAAAAAAAATAGAGGGGCGCTACCAATCCTCCCCTTTTTATCATTAAAATGAGTTTGGACCGTTAGATGAGATTTTGAGAAATGACTTCATTTTAAGGTTTTGTGGGGGTTTGTATGATAAGATTTTGTATCATATCTGCTCCTCTTTTACGGTTCGTTTTGAATTCCAAAGCATGATGTTGATGAAGGTGCTAAGATATGGGAAAATAGCTTCGTTGGACAGTTGCTCAAATCGTTAACGTCTTTCATCATGTTGATGATGGGGGAACTAGATCTCGAGCATAGAGGAAGAAGTTGTGTTTCTTGGTGGAGGATCTATTCTGATTCTCATCTGCTTCAGTCTGCCAATGGGTATTTGAGAGCAGGCCCTCGCATCACACAAGTTTTTTTATACATAAATGGATGCATGGAATCCAACCACCTGCTATTTGATAACTCTATAATCCCGGGTGGGGGGAAGTTGTCTAATATAAATGCAAAAGTCATGCCTAAGGAGGGATTGGGTAAACGAATAATAAAAGGTTATGGTAATTTACCTTGTATTCCATTGATGTTGTTTGGAATACATATATACACGAGTGTCCTCTGCTAGAATGTATAGGAGGAAGATAATTACAGAAGATAGAGTTAACATCCTACAACAACATATAAATGAAGGAAATGTGAATAAAGAAATAAAATCACTTATTCATTATCTCTCATATGCCGCCGCAAGATGGAGTTAGTGTCAACGTCTTCGATCATGGATTGTAGAAGATGATCATGTGTGCTTGATGTGGAATGATCAGGTATGCATGCATGACTTACTTCAATGCTTGATACCTTAGATTATCAATGATATAGATATTACTATGATTCATAGAGGCCATAAATAATTAATATTTTATCCATACTTTCGTGTTTGATTGATTAGTCTAATGTCATGAAGCGCAAGCACACATTAGTTAGTCATAATTTCTTTTGCATGTGTTGAAATCTTGATTAGGATGACGTAATTGGAAGGGATGGGGTTACATGT